GTTCTTAGTAGGGAGCTCGGGCTCCTAGTAGGGAGCTCGTGCTCCTTTTTCTTTTGGTGTTTTGGGCGCTCTGTTGCCCCGAGCTGTTCGCTTTTGCCACGCGTCGAGTGATGGCGAGATCGGGCCAAATTTCCCTTCATCAATTGCCCCCCACTCCCTGCGCCAAGGGTCTTGGCGGGGAGTTCCTAAGGCAGGAGGATTTTGGCCCGTAACTTGAATTTTATTCAACTGGTGGCGCGCACTTTGGTTTAATTTTTCAAAAAGGCGCACGTTTGGGAGACGTGACGATAGCCGTTTTTCTCAAATTTTGGGAATTGTGCTGCAGCCGCTTTTACTGTCGGGAGACGTGCGTTGACACCCTGGGGGGACCCCAGTCGCCGCTACTGTACCTCTCGAGCTCGCGTCAAAGTTTCAGTTTGCGTCCAGGCTCTTCAGCTCGCGTCCCAGGTTCCTCTTGTTCGRGCTTTCGTGGTCTACTCCAGTCTTCTTCCCGGGTGAGTTCTTTTCCTGGAACCCGTCTTCTACCCCCTGATGTCTAGCTCGGATGGCTCAGACAGTCCAAGCGGGTCTGATGCAGGTTCTACGAATCGTTTTGCATCCCCCGGTAGTTCTAGCGAGCCTGATGTAGATCTTGAGGAAGAGGTTAAACCCATAGGTCGAGGGGCCTCGTGTAGTTTTGCGTCCACCTCTCATCGGGGTCGGGCTCCAGACCAGTTCGGACCTTCGACCATGATGCCTGAGGGACTCCAATCCCTCATAAACTACTATAACTTGCTCGGGGAATTTGCCTACTTTATCCCTACGGGTAGCTTTCCTTGGGAACACGGTCCTGATGAGATCGTGATATTCCGGGAGCAACTCGCTGCGGCTGCCTTTCCATCCTCTTCTTGTCGAGGTCCTGAATCACTTCGGTGTGACGGTCAGCCAGCTTCACCCGAACTCCATTAGGAATTTAGTGGGGACGATCTCCCTATTCTGCGAGGAGAACTTTTCTTTGGACTTGGAGATTTTTTCTTCTATTTTAATGCTTAAAAAGCAAGCGGCTCCCCTTCCTGGGCGTAGGC